GGGGACGGTGGGGGGCTGAGTGAGGCAGGGGGATGGGCAGGGGCGGTGGGGGGCTCGGTGAATTGGGGGGCCGGCCTGGGTGCTCCTCCTCTAACCCTCACTCCATCTCTCCCAGCCCCCCCACCATGCCGGCCCCCTGCTCTGCCTGCGGCGCCAGCCCGGCTGCCCTGCGGCGCCCCAAGACGGGCCACGCCCTGTGCCGCGCCTGCTTCCTGGCGGCCTTCGAGGAGGAGACGCACCAGGCCATCGTGGCCGGGCGGCTCTTCCGGCCCGGCGAGACCGTGGCCATCGGTGCCTCGGGCGGCAAGGACTCCACGGTGCTGGCCCACCTGCTGCAGCTCCTTGACCAGCGCCACGGCTACGGCCTGCGCCTGCTGCTGCTCTCCGTGGACGAGGGCATCGCCGGCTACCGCGACGCCTCCCTGGCCGCCGTGCGCCGCCACCAGCGCCGCTCCGGCCTGCCCCTGCACGTGGTCTCCTACTGCCAGCTCTATGGCTGGAGCATGGACCGCATCGCCCGCCACCTCGGCCCCCGCAATAACTGCACCTTCTGCGGCGTCTTCCGGCGCCAGGCCCTCGACCGGGGCGCCCTGCTGATGGGTGCCGACAAGATCGCCACAGGTGAGGGGGAGCCGCCGGGGGCCCTGCTGCAGGGAGGGGCAAGATGGCCATGGAGGGTAAGGGGGGCAGGAGAGCCCACAGGGAGTGTGTGGTATGGGAGAGCAGGGGCCAGGATCGCCCTGGGGGCGGGTGGGGTGGGGTGTCAGCTGGAGGATTACTGCTCAGCATGTACATCTCCCCAGGTGTGCGTGGGGGGGTCCTGTGGGATGGAGGCAGGGGGAGCTGAATTGCAGGGAGGGGGCGTTGGGTCTTATTTTGGTGGGTCTCTGTGCTGGAGGAGGGGGTGCTATGTATTGGGGGGAGAGGTCACCACAGGGTCCGACCCGGGGGCCCCCTCCGGCCTGACTCCTCCGCTCTTCCCCGCAGGGCACAACGCGGACGACGTGGCTGAGACGGTGCTGATGAACTTCCTGCGGGGCGACGTGGGTCGGCTGCGCCGGGGGGCGGGAACAGGGCCGGCAGGCGGGGAGGGGGCCGTGCCCCGCTGCAAGCCCCTGCGCCACGCCTACGAGAAGGAGATCGTCCTCTACGCCTACTTCCAGGGTCTGGACTACTTCAGCACCGAGTGTGTCTATGCCCCCCAGGCCTACCGCGGCTACGCCCGTGCCCTGCTCAAGGACCTGGAGGCCGCCCGGCCCAGTGCCGTGGCCGACCTGGGCCACTCGGGCGAGCGGCTCTCGCTGCGCTCCGACCTCCGCATGCCGGCCCGCGGCACCTGCCAGCGCTGTGGCTACGTGGCCAGCCAGCCCCTGTGCAAGGCTTGCGTCCTGCTGGAGGGGCTCGACCGCGGCCTGCCCAAGCTGGGCATCGGCAAGCACCGGCGCCTGCGGGACAAGCTGCGGGATGGGCAGCCCCTCACCCAGGAGGAGCGCAGGCGTCTGGGGGCTCCGGCCGAGGGGGAGCCGCCGGAGGAGCAGGAACCTCGGGGGGAGCTGGGGACAGACGAGGAGCCGTGGGGCAGACGGGAGTTGAGGGGCCCACAGGACCTGGACTTCTGAAGTGGTGTGGGGCGTGCCACTGAGACCAGCCATGCTCCTGTCCACAGCCCCACTCGGGGGCCGGGGGGGAGTGGGATCCAATGGGATACAACGGGGGAGATGGGAGCCAGGACTCCTGCGTTCTCTTCCTGGCTCTGGGAGGGGAGTGGGGTCCCGTGGTTAGAGCAGAGGGGGCTGGGAGCCAGGACTCCTGGGTTCTATTTCCAAGTCACTGTGTGACTAGGTAAGTCACTTTTACCTTGCTGTGACTCAGTTACTCCCTCCCACCCCCCTAGAATTGAGATAATGCAGCTTATATTTTGTAAACTGCTTTGAGAGCTGTTTATGATAAGTGCTCAGTATGAAGAAATGGCTCATGGTTCTCTTCTGTACCAGGAGATTACAAGGACATGTGAAAGAGCTGATAATAAAACCGGTTTCTGAAGAAGAAATCACGCGTTGAACAGCCTCTCTAATCTTTGGCAATCACATAACAAACGCCAGCCAGGCCCTTAAAAACTAAAAACCTGGCTCGCAAGTTTAAACTTAGACAGGGCTGCTTGAGATATTTGGAACAAAATAGGGGTTTTTCTACCAAAAAATGTAGAAACCAAAATTTGGAAACACCTGACTCCCAGTTTTTTGTAACAGGGTTGGACATTGTTGAACTGCAAAGCTTCTTTTTTTTTCCCAGTTGAAACAACTTTTTGGTTAGAAATTTGAGCAAATTCACACGTTAAGGGGGCAAAGGTCCAAACTTGAGATGAGACATTTCTAAACGATTGAAAGGAAACTGCTTGAGGGATTGGAACTGAAGAAAAAGTTTTTCTCATGTAAATATTAGAGAGTTTGGACTTTTCAGTCTGATTTGGGGCTGGGTAATTTTTTCCTGAAAGTCTTGGGGCAGGGGAAACCTACAGCGTTTGTGGCCTGATTACACAGCCCCAGGTTTTGCCGGGTCACAGATTGCCTGGTTCAAACCACAAGGGTCAGAGGTGATGCGAAGAGTTTTACAGAAATGATTTTTAGTAAGTCCACCCTGTAGAAATAAATGGCATGTAGGAACCTTTCCCTGCCATTCCCATTCTATAGCAGGGATGCAATGTCCATTTATTCTCTAGAACAGGAATTCTCAAACTGGGGGTCCCAACCCAAAAGGGGGTGGCAAGGCTATTATAGGGGGGTTGTGAGACCTAGGGGTACCATATTTGAAGGACACTGTCAGAGGAAAAGGGGAACTGGTGCGGGGTGGGTACAGCTTTCTGGCCGCCCAGCTCTGAAGGCAGTGCTGCCGCCAGCAGCAGCCAGGGTGGCAGTGCCTTACACCTGGGAGAGGACGAGGTTTCACTTTTATTACAACTCAGCAGCAAGAAGCGCGAAGTAGGGACCTAGGAGGACAGTTTGCACGCCAGTGTAGCCTTTTATTTCATGTAACGTGAATTTTGTAACGTATCACACCACCGTGGGTTCAGATCTAGCGGCTACTGTTTCAAGCTTAACAGTGAAAGTCACCTGTGCTACGTGCTTTAGATGTAGAATCTCGAGGAACACAAAGCCCAAGGGTAGAGACCACACAGACATTCACAAGTACAAAGTCTAGTCTATTTTATAGGTTTTATTAAAGTTACAATTAAAGTTATTCTCCAAGCCGATGGCAATTCTAGACAGACCTATGCACAAGTTACAACTATAGTTACACTCACATCCTCACCAATAGTGTTAGGTCTGATGGGTCTTATGGTTTGAGCAGAGGGATGGTTCCTGCTGGAGATTCCCATAGTGAGCTCTGGGCACCCTGGTTTTATGTGATTCTGCCTATAGCAAACTTCTGCACATGGACATGAAAGGGTCACCCCTCTTTTCCCTTGTCGGTCCCCTACAAACTTAAGGGACCCCGATTTCTATAGGTTGTGTAGGCTCTCTTCGTTCTCATTAGCATTGACGCACAGCCTGTATCCTGTGGTTAAGGCACGTGCTGGAAACACATCTGCCTTTACAGCATTTTTAGGATTTAAAATTCATCTTCCAGTAAATTTTTCTCATTACCCCTTGGCCCCTCTTTCCCCCATTATCTTAGGGCATCGGGTTTTTCTTCGCTCGCTTACTTATACTGAATCAGCATTTCTTAGCTCCAAGGCCTAAACTAGCTAAGCTAAAATCTTTCAGGCCTCAGCCTACAGGTCTTGCATTTCAACCCTACTTACTCAGATACTGAATACGTGATTATTCCCTCTACATACTGATCAATCGTAGACTTCTATAGTCCTACAACTTAAGTATTGAGCATACAACGATTATATAGGACATAACGTGTTAATTAGATCACACAATAAATGTGAACAATAATCTAAAATCATTGGCTATACCAGGCCAGAGGGAGACGAGGACAGAGCTGAAGCCAATGCAGGCTCTTACTGGCCCAGGTCCAGAGAGCAGGTAGGCACTGGGGTGGAGTGCGCCAGCGATGCCCAGACAGATGCCGCTGGGTTAGGGTTGCCAACCCTCCAGGATTGGCCTGGAGTCTCCTGGAATTGGCATTCATCTCCCAGTGACCACTGAAAGCAATCTGGGAATTATAATAGGATATTTTAAGAAAATGACACTGTGTCATGTTGGGGGAAAAAAATCTCCTGGAATAGCTTCAGTCACAGTTGGCAGCCCTAGGCTGGGTGAGAGAGCTGATCTCCAGACTGGGCAGCGTAGGGAAGCCACTAGGGGATTCAGCGCCATTGATTGCAGGGATAATGCGGACATGTGTCATTTCCTGCTCCTGTGAGTATGTCCAGTGATTTGCTGTCACTTCGGTTGGGGGGCGGGGTAATCACAGCCTGAAATATATTCAAAGGGGAAGCCCTGCTCTAGAATGGGATTAAACAACCAACTGCCCTTTAGGACAGTACAATTTTCCATCTGATTCTCTAGGCCGGAGTGTCTCAGTCTTTTCCGCACGGGAGCGCACCATGGCCCTGTAGTCCCCCTCCCCACTCCCCCCTTGTCTCGGTTTCAGATAATAGGCCCTGAATTTAATCACCTGACAGACCCTAGCAAAGGTTGGGGAAACTACTGTACCTCTGAGCTCCGCTCTAGCTCAACTGCCAGATCGGGGCTGGAGGCAGAAAACCCTGAGGTAGATTCTCTTGGCCGTTTGAAATGGCCCTTCTGTCAAAATCAAAATGTTCGGTGTGGGGTCGGGGGTGGGGGGAAGTGTCTAAATGACGTATTTTGACATTTTCATTTCAGGAGCTATTCCTGCCTGCTGGCTGAGTCCCTTTCGGTGACTCAGTTTCCCCTTGACTAATATGTCTAATAAGCAAGGATTGGTAAGGCAAGAGCAGCTTTCTTACAGCTCAAGAACATCTGGAGCTCCAGAGAGCTGTCTTTGGCAAAAGATTAGACTGTTCAACTCCAACGTGAAATCAGTCTTATTGTATGGAGCTGAAACCTGGAGGATAGCTAAAACAACCACCAGGAAGATCCAGACCTTCATAAATAGTTGCCTTAGCAGGATTCTCCAGATCTGCTGGCCAGACACCATCAGCAACATCTACCTCTTGGAGAGGACCCGTCAACTTCCAGCAGAGGAAGAAATTAGAAGGAGAAGGTGGGGCTGGATAGGACACACACTACGCAAGCAGCCAACCAACATCACTAGACAGGCATTGCGGTGGAACCCCCAAGGCAAGCGGAAAAGAGGCCGTCCAAGAAACACCTGGCGATGCGACCTTCAGGCTGATAGCATAAAAATGGGCTATACCTGGAACCAGCTAAAGCAAATGGTCCAGGATAAAGGACTCTGGAGATCTGTGGTTGGCGGCCCATACCCCGATTGGGGTGACGGGCGTGAGTGAGTAATATGGGCGTATTGATACTGACCTTTGTGAAGCGGTTTGAGAGCCACAGATTGAAAACACCAGCTAGAGGGGAAGGATGGCCCAGTGGTTGTTGAGCACTACTCTAGGAACTTGGAAACTCAGGCAATTCTCTGCTACACTACAGACTTCCTCTATGGGCTGGGGCAAGTCATTTTAGGCGTTGAGATTCCATTGAAATCAACGATGCTGCCTGAGTCTGCTGAGAGCCCAATGTAGCAGTAGGATTTTATGTTTGCATTTTATATAATGTAGAATGAAGAATAAAGAATAATAATGTATCACGTATTAAATGTATTGGTGTATGATTTGATTATATTCTGCCAGCCACCCTTTTTGAATAGCAGAAAGGAATGGCCTAATGGGCCATTCGTAGAGATGCATCAGCCAGCATCTGTCTGAAGCTGATTTTTAAGGCAGTGACAGACCTTTAGGGTCACCACTTTGTTGTAGGTTTAGCATTTTAAAATAATTAAAAGAATGCAATGAGTGTTTTCTCCTGCATTGCATTTTGATGTTCCTGTTCAAATGCCCTGTGTAAATCAATCCTGTTTTGTGTGCGAATAAGGAATGTGTGTGTTAGAAGATAAGTGTGAAGGCCATCACCGAACCAGATGTTCTAGGGAGGAACCGAGGACAGACGCAAGGGCGCTAGAAAATTACAACACCCCCCTGTTGACATGTCGGAAGAGGGCAGATTGACGACTCTAAAAGTAAGACAGGCAACTATTAATGGGGACAAGATAGCTGTGATCAAAACCAGCATGGGGTAACTCCCTGAGAGACTTAATTAAAAATAAGAAAAACAATTTAAGAAAACAAGCACTCGTCAAACAACAATTGATTACAGCATGATGGTGCAAAACTCATTGGTCCCAATGAAGGAAAATCTCTATATAAACAGGGGGCCTTGCCATGAAACTTTGGGTTTGTCCTGCCAAGACTTCCCTGTGTTCGATGGAACCCGGCTCCTCCCTACCTGTGATCAACCTAGCTGGCCACTAGATTGATCCAGACTCTGGACTGGTAACTATAACATCAACTGGTGGGATAGTGTGTGTGTGGTGTGATTGAATGCCTATGCTAATCGTTGTATTTCCAATACACGCGGCGTATTGCCTTTCCCTAGGGTGACCAGACAGCAAATGTGAAAAATCGGGAGAGGGGATGGGGGTAATAGGAGCCTATATAAGAAAAAGACCCAAAAATCGGGACTGTCCCTATAAAATCGGGACATCTGGTCACCCTACCTTTCCCCCCGAAAAAGATCCTGTGTGCTTCTTATAAGCATAACATTT